AAAAAAAAAAAAAAAAAATAAGAGCAGTTAAAAAAATATTTGTGAAAGTGTTTCTACCGTATGTCTACGTCATTTTCATTATTTTCACGTCATGCACATGTATAGGTTTAACGTTATTTTCACGTCACTTTTTCATTTTTCTTCTTTTTTCATCTTCGACTCTTTTCGTTAAGTTAACAAGGCAACACGGTAATTATTATCGATCAAAATATTTTTACAATATTCTAATTCTGATACAAATATATATAGGTGACATAATTGTCAAATTATGATATTAAATTTGAAGATTTTTTTATGCGTAAGAAATATTTGTGATGAAATTAATGACGATTGATTTTTAGGTTAAATGTCGTTTTGTTCACATTTTATTTAAGTCAATTCGTATGAAATTAATTGACAGTTTTCTCGGTACACAGGATGAATAAAAAAAGTGTTGCTCTGGAATCTACGATCGATCGTTCGAATTTGTCATTATTTAAAAATATTTCATTTATATTTTACATATATCCTTGTGAAAATCTTACGAGGGTATAGCGATCAAGTGTTGTTCTGTTACTTTCTTGCATGTACGATTCTAGTTAATGAATGAAAATTTTTCGATAATTTTTTCTTTTTCTTTTTTTTTTTTTTTTTTTTTTTTTTTTTAATTTATCTTATAATGTTAATATAACATTAATATAACATTATAATATGTCAATTATTCAAAAATGTAATGCATGTATACTCAAGCTTTTCAATTCGAAACAGTTTTAAACAAACGAACAGAGCGATACTAATTGTTATGTGAATATTCTCTTAAATATAAAGATTATTCTCTTTATATCTATAGAAAAAATAAATGGGAAGAAAGGATGGGAATGGAAACCATTAATTCAGTGCTGTCCATTGAAGGTACATTAAGTAGAGGTATTTATTTATATATTCCATAGTTACGTACGTAGAGTGACGGTGATATGCTTCGTAGTTCAAGAAATGAAAATGGCTTATTTATTTCGAGATTATTTATTTTTTTAGGATTTCTAGACTTTACAAAATTTATAATTTGGATTTAAACATCAAATTTCAATGCAATTTTAAAAAGAACAAATGATAAGAATAACGATCTCGATAAGATTTAGGAAGATGAAAACATTTTGAACATTTTTTCATGAAATAATTGTATTTTTTTTTATATTTAATTTGATACAAGTTTCTTTACTTAATAAATTTTGTCGATCAATATAACATATAAAATTTGAAATTATAAACTTATATAAATTAGACATGTAACAAATATTTTAATTTCTTTCAAGATAAAAAATCAAGATAATTTTGATTTTCTCGTGAATGAAATTTGGACAGCACTGCGTTAATCATTGATGTAAATTTTATAGGTTTATTCCGTTAATGATATCTTACAATTATTTGAAAAACGTAAAAAATTGTGATTATTATAAAAAAATTTATCTACAAGTAAAAAAAAATGGGAAATATTATGTGCAAATATGTGTGTATGTGTGTGTATGTTAACGAAGAAAGAAATTTCAAAGAGTATAAACTGCTATTGCGTGTGTGCGTGTACACACCTTTATGTTACATGTCAGATGCATAAATGTATATTTAGCTTGCAAAGATTTTTGTGGTAGTATTCAAAGTATAAAATCATGATTGAGACTTTATTGTCTTGCATGATGCTTAATTTGATTTGATACATGTGATAATATATGTTTTTTGCTATATTCGCAGCATGTGCCAAGCATGCTTTATTTATTTATTTTTTATTTTTTTTTTTTTTCAATTCAATGTGTTTCTTGGGCATGGTATGAAATTGTGTTTTCAATTAATGTTACCTTTATAAAATCTCTACCATATAATGCAGAAAATTGACAATTTTTTTGTGTGCTTCTGCTAGAACACTTGACGCTAGAATTATTTGTTATGTGTTCGCCATACGATCTCTGATTTTAATCAAATTATAACACGTGTAATCGATTTTAAATAATTGATACTATGATAATTATACATAAAAAAAAAACGAAAAAATAAATTTAATTTATTAAATAAATGAAGAACTCGTTATGCTATTTATTGTCAATTTTCAAACGTACTCTTAATTATTTATGCGTGTTTCATCTCACCAAACGTATTTTTTGCGATCAAGTTTAACTTTACTATACTATCTCTTCGAATTTTAGCTGTACACGTAACTGTATACCAGATTAGCAGTGTCATTCTTCCCGTTTTGTATTGTGCTGGAAAATAAAGTATATACGGTGACAATAAGATGTGTAATATCTTAAATAATGTGTATATTGCGTTAAAGGATGATATACATATATATATATATTTAGTTTAAAATAATTAAAACTATGAATGCAAAATAAACTCGAAAATGTACAACAATTTCGTGGAAAAATATTATATATCATCTTGTTGCACGCTTTTTTGCTAATGTTACGAATATACGTACAAAAATCACCCTCGAATTGCTTATCCCCTGCTTCCATTTTATTATCTTAGAAAGTGTGTATTTTTATGTTTGTTTGTTTGTTTTTTTTTTTTTTTTTATATACAGTAGACAAATGAAAACGAACAATTTTATTACGAATTCATTGTTAATTAGCGTGCATGAATTTCATTTAGATTTCGAGTAATATTTTACGTTTAACGAGGGAAAAATATAAAACTCATGCGTATTAAATTTTGATAAATAAATTTTGAAAAAAATTTCTCAAAAAAATAATCAACTCCTATATTTTTTATCAGTTGTTATTCGCGTCGAAGTGAAGATAGAAGAATGAAAACAATCCTTAAAATTTGAAGTTGGAAAAATATTACAGCCGATAATAAAAAATACGTGTCAAATTATTTTTTTAAGAATTATTTTTCATATAAATTTTATCAAATTTTATAGCGCGTGAGTTGGATATTTTCTCTTGCAAGTATAAAATATATAATTTTTTATATCATTGATCGTACGAGTATTATTGAAACTCGAGAGTGTTCAAGTAATCCATTCATTTTTTATATTTATAGATATTTTTCATCGATATATAGATTTGTTAAACTAATTAAATTACTTTATGTAATGATTTACTCTGTTGCTTCCTTGTGCATTTATTTATTTATTTTCTTTATTGTATTTTTTTTTTTTTTTAAGTGTTTTGCTTGTCTTCGATCAATTCTCTCTTCTTCACCCCATTTATCCATAATTTCATCATTTCCCCTTTCCCTTTCGTTCTATATTCTTCTTCTTCTTCTTCTTCTTCTTCGCCTATT